AAAACCAATGTCATGTTGTTTTATTCATGGTTTATTACGGTTTTCATTTTCACTTTCAGTTTGAGCAATTTTTCATCAGTTTACTGATCACTTGCATTTTCTCATTGGAGAAATACTTGTTTAGATCCTTCACCATCATCCTTTTCTTCCCCATAGCCTTTCAGGTGTTAATAGCAAGGTTGTTACTCCTTGCATGTTTTGTAGAAATGGCTGGGGAAGCTAACTAGTTCTCCAAACTGAGGCTAGAGGGGGGTTTTGACATATTTTTGTTATGGGACTGTTAAGGTTTGTTTTGTTTTGTTCTAAAGATTTTATTTTTAAGTAATCTCTACACACAATGTAGGGCTCGAACCTACAACCCCGAGATCAAGAGTCACATGCTCTACAAACTGAACCAGGACTCAAGGTTTTTGAAATCTCCTGGCAATAGCGATATCCTGCCTCCTGAATGATTGCCGCTTCTACCCACTCAGGGGAAGGACTGAAAATCTGTCCAGAGCCAGGTACCTTCCTGCACTACCTGAGGTCACAGTGTAGGGCTTTTGTGGACAGGCTCCTGGATGGAAAGTTCAGGAATTCTGCTTCAATTTCATCCCACACATTTTGATATATATCATATTTTCAATATTGTTTAGTGCAAATTATAGTCTAATATGTATTATGATTTCTTCTTAACCCAAGATGATTTAGAAGAGTTCCTTAACTTCAAAACTTATGAGATTATTCCAGTTATTTTCTGTATAAGGTGTGCTCTTAGAGTGATTTCAATCTTTTGAAATTTGTTGAGCCTTGCTTACAGTCTATTTTGGTGAATATTCCATGTGCCCTTGGAATGAATCTGTAGCTGCAGCTGCTGAAGGTTGCATTCTATCAGTATATAAAAGGTCGATTTGGTTGATAATGTTCATATATTTGGGGTGCCTGGGTGGCTCTGTTGGTTAAGTGTCTGACTCTTGATTTCAGCTCAGGTCATGATCTCAGGGTCATGAGATTGAGCTCCACATAGGATACCATGCTGAGTGTGTACCTTGCATAGGATTCTTGCTTAGAATTCTTTTTCTCTCTCTCCTCCCCCTTCCACTCACTATCGCTCTCCTTCTCCCTCGTTAAAAAAAATAATAATAATAATAATGTTCATAATTCAATATCCTTATTTGTCCACCTGCTTGTCTATCAAATACTTGGAGAAGTGTATTTAAATCTCAAGCTATGAGGATGGATTTGTTACTTTTCTTACTTCTGTTATATCTTGAAGACATATTACTAGGTTTATGTACAGTAGTATGCTGGCAAGTGTATAACAATCAACTATTTAAAAAAGAGTCTTGATTTGTAGAATTTTCCAATACTCAATGTGTTAATACACATGATATGGTCAATTTCAAGTTATCACTTGATAACTTGTCACTTCAGTGACATCACTGAATTCTGCATTGGGAAGAGATGTTTATGATTATCTCCTGTGAGTTGGTATGAGCCAACTCCAGCAATCATTCTAAATGTTCATACACATTTAGAATTATTGCATCTTTCTGTTCAAATGGTTCTTTTATTATTGTGAAAAGCCCCTCTTTTATCTATCAATACATTCTGCCTTAAATTATTATTTGCCTGATATTATATATTAACCCTCTCTTTTTTGGCTAACATTTTCATAGAGTATTAGTTTCCATCATTTACTTTCAAATTATCTGTCCCATTTTTTAAGGATTTATTTATTTATATGAGAAAGAGAACCCTAGCAGGGGAAAGGACAAAGGGAGAGAATATCCAGGCAGACTCCTGCTGAGCAGGAAGCGCAGCAGGGGGCTGGTCCCCGGGAGCCATGAGATCAGGTCCTGAGCTGAATCCAAGTCAGATGCTTAACCAACAGAGCCACCCATGAGCCCAGGTTCCATTTTATTAAAAGTAATCAGCATATACTTCAGTTTTATTTTCTGTTTTTCCCCAGTCAGTGTTTATACCTTAATTGGAGTGGTGAATCCATTTACATTTATTGTAATTACTAATACAGTTAAGCTCAAGTCTAAAATACTGCTATTTATTTTTTACGTCATCTCTTCTTTGTTCTTCTATTCCACCTTTCCTGCCTTTTAAAAATATTAATCAAATATTCTTTACTACCTCACTATATCATTTCCATTAGCTATATAACTCTTAATATTAATGTTTTACAATAAGCATACTCAAATTATTACAGTTCACCCTTAATCGATACTTTCACTACATTCTAAACTATGTAAACATTAAAACCATTTAATTTCATTTGTTATCTCTTGGCATTTTTGTTATTATTTTTATATATTATACTCCTGAAACTTTTTGCAAACACTCTAAGACATTGTTATTGATTTTAAATGAAGTCTTTTTAAAATTTTGTTAAAATATACATAGCACATTATTTATTATTTATCAGTAGTCTTTTTATTAATCCATATGTTTATTTTCTTCAGTTCTGCTCATTTACTGTTACCTTTTTTGTTTACTTATGGGATCATTCTCCTTCAGTCTAGAAAGTTTTAGTGGGGCTTATTATAGTGTCAGTCTGCTATTGTTGAATTCTCTCTCTTTTTGGTTTGTTTGAGAATGTGTTTCTATTCTCCTTCATTTCACAGTATGTTTTCCCTGGGTTCAGTTCTCTGTTGCCATTTATTTTTCAGCAGTTTTGAAATGCCAGAACATTGTCTTCATGCCTCAGTTGTTACTGTTACAAACATACTGTTATTTTTATTGTTCTCCTAAAAGAAATGTGTGTTCTTTTCTCTGTCTGCTTTTAAGATTTTGCCTTTATCTTTGGTTTTCTGCAAAGCCTCTGTATAGTTTTTCTTCATATTTACCTTTTGATTTGTTGTGGGTTATTTGTTTTTTTTGTTTTTCTTGTTTTGTTCTGTTTTTGAGCTTTTGAATCTGAGAGTTGATTTTTTTCATCAATTTTAGAAACCTTTGAGCTAATCTTTCTTCAAATATTTCTGTCTTTTCTCTTCTCTAGTTTTGGAATTTTATTTAGATGTACACCTATCACTGGACTCTGCTCCACACATTTCTTGTACTCTCCTTTATTTGTTATTGGTGTTTTCTACACTTTTATCTTTCTGTATTCATTTTGGATAGTTCTACATCAATATTCTTCAGACTTAATATGTTTTTGTTCTGCTATCTCCATTTCATTCTTAAGACCATCCAATGCATCCTTATTTTGGATATTTATTTTGTAATTTTAGGATAACACATGATTATTTTTAGAGCACCAATTTTCTTTTACATATCTTTGTCTTTTTACTCCTTTCATCTATTATTTTCCTGTATTTCCTTTAACGTACTTAAAACAGCTATTTTAAAGAAACTTGACACTAATTCCAACATCTGGATCTGAGTGTCTGCTCCTATGAGCCATTTATTTTTGCTTTATTTCTTGATCACATGTTTTTGCTTCTTTATGTGTCTTTTAATTTTTATCCAAAGCTATACATTTTATATAAAATAAATGTAATGATAATGTTTATATTACTTACCGCCCATTGACAAGTGTTTGCTCTTTCTTGATCTAATCAAGAAGTAAACTCAGATGGGTCTGGGTTGCACTTCTATTTTGAGTTAGTCCACTTCGGGTTTCAAAAGTCTCAAGGTAGAGACCTTCTTGGGTTTTTATCAAGTACCTGGTTGGTCTCCTCTTCCATCATCCCAGAACACTCTGAGAGATTCATCCTGCTTTTCTGATGTTTTGATCTCTGCTCTTAAATCTCACCCCAAGTGACTTTGAAACTGTTTTGATGAGGATTCAGTTGTGTATTTGAAATAAGATCCTTTTCTTACCAGGACTTTTTCTATGAGACTATAGGAACTTCCATTCCACTCTTAAGAAACAACTTATATTCCAGCAGAGCACCCTCATTCTGCAGGGTTTCAGAATTTTTCATGTTAGACATGCTTCCAAAAGTTTGTCTCACTTTTATTTTCCTATCACATTCCTCTGTTCAGGCAAAGCCTGGAAAACATGACCAGTTAAGAAATGGCCGAAAACTATATGTTTGCATAAAACGGGCGCTTCCCACTTTGGTTTAGTTCATGTAATCCCTTTTCTCCTCGCAATTTCCGGTTCCTTTCAACACACACACACACACACACACACACACACACACACACACACACATGAGTTTGTTGTTTTTTCCAATTTGCAGTAGGAATGTTGTTCTGTTCCATCCTATTCCATCATCCTTGGAATGTTCCCATTCAAGTTTGTATCATCTTGCCATGCTTTATTTTTCAAGATAGAATTGATCTACCTGCAATGTATATTATACATTTATTTATTTACTTATTTAATAACTAACTTCCCTAGTAGAATGGAAAACCTTGAAAACAGGTACTTTATCTCTTTTAAAATTTATTGTTTTATCTTCAGAACTTAGAATAGTGCCTAGTACGTATTTTCCAAATCAATGAATGAATAGTAGAACACAGTGCAGCAATAAGAATAATGTATACACTATCTCCCCCAAACTCCTTGGCTATGAGGTCAGAGGTAGCAAATGTTTCCCTATGTTCATTTTAAAACTTTCCATTTGTACATAAATTTCAGCTGGCAGATATTGCCAATAATCTCACCTTTGATGACTTTTGTGTGTGTTGGACTTGCATTCCCAAAGGAAGTCACTTTTAGCTTTCTACAGTGGATGTCTCTATTATTCCATAATCTTCATGAAGTGGCATGCACTTGCAGCTTCTCAATTTATTTTTATGTCTAATGTAGTGATAAAATATTAAATAGAAAATTTTGATTAAATATATAGAAAAGGAAAACAATTTCTATGGAAAGCTTTTTTTACAAACTTATATTGTTTCAATTTCTGTAAGGTAAAAATATATATGTTATATATTTTAAGACATAATTTTGGATGGACCTGTAACACCATAGGTATTTTTAAAAGCAAAAGTAACTTAAACATATTGTAAATTTAAATAAGCACTTTAAGCACTTATTTTGTTTTTATTGTTTATAGATTGCAAAGAACCCCCTCCAAGAAAACAAACTGAAGTGTTGTTAGGTGCCTGGACTGCACAAACATATCCAGAGGGCACTCGGGCTACATATAAATGCCCACCTGGATTTAGAACTCTTGGAGCTATTATAATGGAATGCAAGAATGGACAATGGGAGTCTCTTAATCCATTGAGGATATGTCGAGGTAAATAATTCATACATTTGTGATATTTGTAAAAACTTTAGTTATGAAAATCCTGAGTGTTTGATATTGTAGCAGTATTAGCTGAATTATATCACAACTGTCATTTAAATACAAAATCATATACCATCATTATTCTTAATAAGGTGTTGTAATCTTCTAAAATTAAAAAAAAACCATACAGATAAGTTTAATTTTAAAATGATAATTGACATTTTTCACTTTTGCACATCTTCAATTATGTTCACTGATATAATATCAAATGTCATTTTTCTTGAACTCCTACATAAGATTTGTTTCCCCATGTTACATAATAATATCATTATTTTTTTCATTTTAGAAAGGCCCTGTGGACATCCTGGAGATACTCCTTTTGGTTCTTTCCAACTCGAAAGAGGAGAAGAGTTTGTATATGGTGCAAAGGTTGTTTACACATGTAATGAGGGGTATGTAGTCAATATTAAAAGAGGTTTATAATAGAAAAAGTTATAATTTAGGTAGCAAATAAGAATTGTACTAATTAGTATTTTTAAGGTTACTTTATTTTTCTATGAGAGCATTTTTATAAGTACCATATAAGTAGTCTGAAAAATTAAACTATAATGGAAATGATTATATTTGGATACCAAGTTACCTCCTCAACATTGAAAAATTAAAATGAATTATAATTACTCAGGTTGAGTATAGTTATAAGAGGGCTAGAAAATAATATACATATAGATAAGAGTTTATTCCAACAAGTTCTGACTACATTCTATTATGTGCAGAGTATATGGGAGTTCAATATGTCCTGGACAGAGGGAATGATAACAAAATCAGATTACACAGCACCTCCTTTGATAAAAACTTATAAAATGTAGAAGACGCAAATATTTTACACTGATATAATAGTAACTACCATTCTTTAAGTCTCCATGGTCTGCAAATTATTCTTGTCACATGGACCAAAAATGCTACTACATTCATAGTCATCAACTCTCTGTTCTCTAACCACCGACTGGATGTTCATGACTGATCTTAACACTACGATACCTCTTCAGTGTTCTTGATTTCTGTTATTCCTAGGCAGGTCAAAAATTGTTTTGAAGAAAGTTTCATACATGAGAAAAACAATTTCAGTACAATTTTATGATACATAAATATAAATAGGATCAAGAAATTACAAACTGAGGCCTCCTGGGTGGCTTATTCAATTAAGTAAGGGTTTGCCTTCAGTTCAGGTCATGCTCCCAGGTTCCTGGGATTGAGTCCAGTGTGGGGCTCCCTGCTCAGCAGGAAGTCTGCTTCTCCTTCCCTCTCTGCCCCTTCTTTTTGCTCTCTTGATCTCGCTCTCAAATAAATAAATAAATACATTTTTTAAAAGGAAATTACAAATTGATTCTAATTATTTTCATTTATTTCTTGATTTGAGGCAATAAAATATAATATTTTAAAGCTTGGGCTTTGGAGTAAGCTTGCATTCCAAAACTCCACAACTCAGTAACTGTATTATCATTTTAATGACTCTTAACTCCCATTTTCTCAATTCTAGAAATAGAAACACAGCAGGTGCATCATAGTACTGGTGGAAGAAATAAATATGACACACACTGAAGCCCTTTGAAGAGTGCCTAAGATATTGTTACCCAATAAGTCTTAGTTCTTATGAATTAGACCTTGGCCACTACCTGAGGGAGATATTTCCAAGACGTTTTTAGCCCAACTTTCAATTATTACTGCTGGCTTTAATTACACATGACCAAATAGATTTCCAATTGCTCACTCTTCACCTCTGAAATATCCCTCTCAATCCAGGCTAGTCTGGCACCTTTAGGTTCCACATCTGACCTGGCAAAAGGGGTCAAAACTCGGGACACCTGGGTGGCTCAGTCGTTTAAGCCTCTACCTACCCACTTAGGTCATGATCCCAGAGTCCTGGGATCGAGCCCCAAGTGGGACTCCCTGTTCAGCAAGGAGCCAGCTTCCCCCTCTGCCTACCGTAGACCCTGCTTGTGCTCTCACACTCTCTATTTCTCTCTTCCTGTCTCTCTTTCTGGTAAAGAAATAAAATCTTCAAAAAAAAAAAAAAGAAGGGGTCAAAACTCATAGACTCTTTCTACTAGATTCCCTAAATCTCAGTAATAAAAAATATTTATAATTTGATAAAAGAAATTTTCCACATATTAACCTCTGACTCTGACTCTGCTTAATTCATCTTTGCTTTCTTCTGCTTGTGTAAATTATGGGTAAACTCTGCTAGGGACTCTCTAAGAGAACAATCTCCACTGTTCACCTTGGGCCTCCAAAACGGACTAGATATTCATCAGTGAATTAAAAGTTCTTGGACCTTACAAATAAGCAAGCATCATTATTGCATGCTATTTTTAATATTTTTGAGGGATTATTTTACCTCTTTGAAGGACTGTAACTCTTTTGACCCAGCTGTGGAATCAGTGTAGAACGACTTTACTGTGCCTATTGTTCTGCCAGTCAACTGACCCTTTTGTGACCCCTTGTCCTCATCCAGTTTTCTCTTCTGAGTACCAATTTAGCTGAATACTAGCCATTTATCAGGATATTCAACATGGATATCCAGTTTCAGTATCCTAGAGGTGGGTAGTTTTAAGGAAGGATTCTACAAAAAGTTTTTCTGGTATTTTGCCTGGCTGGGATTGCAGAAACATGAGCTGTTACTTTTCCCCAACCACATTTGGACAATCTCTTTTTCTTCCCTCTTTCCCTATATATATGGGCCTTAGGCAGTTTTGTGTAGCATTTTGCAGAATTCCTGAAAGAGCTTTGGGGAAATGGGTCGGTTTCCGGAAATATACATTCCATGTTGGAAGGGGTTACAAGGAGAGGAGACAGAGAAGGAATTTTAATAGCCAATTGTTTTTCCTTTATATAACAGAGTCATAGAGTAAATGTTTGACTTCAAGTTCTGTGACTCTCATTGAATCTATTGAAATGTTTTCTTCCTTTAGAAAGTTAGGAACAAATCAATATCATTCAAATAAAGCTTATTTTTTGAGGGAGAAAGTTTTTCTTTTCTTGTGTAATGGGTGAAACAATCCTTATATGCAGATAAAGGAAATAATTGTCGAGGTATAGTTATCTAGAAGTTTATAAAAATTCTGTTCTCAAAATTATCTCTCTTGGGTTTATCAAAGTGCTGTCCATTATTTTGTTTTTGAGAAAAAGTTTTTACCTCTGGCTGTTCACTGTAATATTAAGAAGGATGCTTTACCTTGATCTAAAGCATCTGGTAATGATTGTACATTTTGCATCTGTCCCAAGGATATCTCATTCAAGTAAAGCATTGTAGATTTTTAAGGATGGGCTTAATGTGTTATCACAGTTAGATAAATTTGACATTAAATAGGTTATATATACAGACTTGTCTCGATGACTTACACTCTGGAAAAAGTTAATTAATTAAAAATAATAAAAATTTTAAAATAAAAAATAAACCACATGCTAAGAAATTTGGGCTAGTGCTATCCTTGATTAGGTTAAAAGTCCAAAATGTTTCACAAATATCATAATTGTGGAGGGTAGGAGTATAGAACAGAACTGGAGGAAGGTAATATATTGCTAGCTCTTGATTACTACCATGTTTCTGGTTTTGGGTTTGGGTTCAAGGAGGTTATAACATTGTTCAGTGTAACTAATTGACTGATTCAGTGAAAAGATAAAAGGATATTGTGCACAAAATCATAATGAGTTTGTGTTATGAACCAAGGATTATGATTATTCCAAGTCCATGTGCCTGAGGACTTGAGGGCCTTTCTTAAGTGAAAAAAGAAGCTTAAGAAAGAAAGAAAAGAAATTTAAGAAAGAGAGAAAGAAATTTAAGAAAAAGAAAGAGAAAAGAAAGAAAGAAAAGGAAAAGAAAGAAGAGGGGAGGGAGAGAGGGAAGATGGAAGGGAGGAAGGAAGGAAGGAAAAAGGAAGGAAGGAAGGAATGAAGGAAATGCGTATGCTGTTAATTTTCTCTGAAATGGAGTTTCTGGACATTCAGAATGGAATCAAAATTGCATATAAATACACATTAGCTCACCACTCTGTTATTTTTTATTTTCAGGTATCAGTTGCTAGGTAGGATTAATTTCCGTGAGTGTGAACCAGATGGATGGTCCAATGATATTCCTCTTTGTGAAGGTATACGTAAAATTGATTTATCAATATATTCAAACATCAAAGATTTTTTGAGATGTCTTACATTAAAATATCCTTATAATTTGTAATTAAATATTTTTACTTAAAGTATTTTTGTTGCTTCTAATATAGTACAGAATGAATACCTAGGCATTATTTTGTGTTTCATTAACCAAATATAAATACAGACTCATCGGATCTAATAGTCTAAGTATTTGAGATTAGGGAATCTAAAACCTATTTTCTTTTCCTTTTGGATTCTAACCACTAGAAAAAAAACACAAGTATCAGAATTTCAGCTTTATTAATGAAGATTTTCTCACCCAATAACCACACAAATGCAAGGATCTCGGGTAACAGCTGAAGTGAAGAACATGATTTAGACATTTCTCCCCTCTTGTGTGACAAGGAAGATTTTCCTGTGGTCTTAGTCTTATTGAAAAGAGACGAGAAGTGAGGGAGAGCTCTGCTTTTTCTTAGTGACTCGTAAATCAAAGAATGAGAATGAGAAAATGTAAATCTTATTTCCAAATTTTGAGCTAGTAATCCCACTCTCTAGTCATCATGGAAATAAGAGAAATGAGTCAGAATAGTCTTTCTTAGTTCCATGCTGAGGAATAAGTCAAGAGGGAAAGGGAAGGAGGAGTAACAGAGGAAAGGATATAGGAAGGAAGGGAGAGGTGGAGAGGGAGAGGGGGAGGAGGAGAACCATGAGGAGGAGGGGAGAGGAGGAGGGCAGGGAGGAGGAAGAAGAAATGGGATCACTCAAAAATCCTGTTACCTAAAGAAGAGAATGAAAGATCTTTCATCTATGGAAATGTGGAATGAAGATCTAAATGCTTTAAGAAATTTCTAAGCTGCTGAGGTCGAAGAGGTTGCTGCCTGTGTTCTCCTCAATTGCCATTTGCAACGACGTGGATGGAACTAGAGGGTATCATGCTTAGTGAAATAAGTCAATCGGAGAAAGACAACTATCATATGATCTCCCTGATATGAGGGAGAGGAGATGCAACTTGGTGGGTTAAGGGGGTAGAAGAGTAAATGAAACAAGATGGGATTGGGAGGGAGACAAACCATAAGTGACTCTTAATCTCACAAAACAACCTGAGGGTTGATGGGGGGAGGGGGGTTGGGAGGGGGGGTGGGGTTATGGACATTGGGGAGGGTATGTGCTATGGTGAGTGCTGTGAAGTGTGTAAACCTAGCGATTCACAGACCTGTACCCCTGGGGATAAAAATATATGTTTATAAAAAATAAAATTTAAAAAAAAAAAAGAAATTTCTAAGCTGTAATCACCTGAGGTGTTTATTTAAAGTTGAAAATTTTGGTTACTAAAAACGTACTAAACCAGCATCTCTTGGGTAATAGGGCAGGGGGACAGGGAGATAACCATAGAATTTCCATTTTAATTCTACCCTGGATGATCCCACTATAAAATCAAGTTAAAATGGCATAACCTAAGAGATATTGGAAAATATTAAGTAAAATCAAAAGGATTACTCAAATTACTTTGAGCACTGACATGGAAAAGGAAGGAAAATTAAGTACTATCTGTCTATTGAAATAAATAGAATCAGAAAGTTTGCTTCTATATCTTTTAGGAATACAGCATTATATTATTCTGGAGTTTAGGTGAAAATTTTTGTTTATCCCAAGCTTTATATTTTTCAATTATTTAAGAAACACTTGTTTGTTAACTATAACAATGTAAACTGTCATTCAAAGAAGTAATTTTCTTTGTCCACTCTCACAGAAAAGAATGAGAGAAGCTTATTGTTTTTTTTTAACTTACTAGCCTTTATATCCAACAGTTTTATCAAATGCTTCTTTAAAAGAATTAAGTAATTTCCCCAATCTTACTTTGCTGATGATTTTATCCATCTATGTGAATATATACATACATTTCATAGTAAAGTTGTTAAATTCTATTGGGAAAAATTTTATTTATTTTTTCAGTTGTTAAGTGTTTACCAGTGACAGAACCAGAGAATGGGAGACTTACCAGTACTGCGTTGGAACAAGACCAAGACTATACTTTTGGACAAGTAGTACATTTTCACTGTAACGCAGGCTACAAGCTTGATGGGCCTGCAGAAATTCATTGCTCAGCAAATGGTGTTTGGAGTGGAGAAACACCAAAATGTGTAGGTAAGATACATTTACTGTTCATGGGATTGATTTTAGTTTTTCTCATGAAAATATGCATTCTCATATATTGTGCATCCTTAAGAATATGAATAACACTAATACCTAATACTTATTGAGGACTTACTATTTGCCAGTAATTGATCCAGGTTCTTTACATATATCATTCCATGTTACTTTCAAAATGTCTGTGATTTATGCACTATACTCTGTTTTATAATCAAGGAAACTGTGGTGCAAAAAAGTTAAATCCCATGACCAAGGTTATCATGGCATAAATGGCAGAGTTAAGAGTCAAACCTTGATCATCTGAAACCAAAGTCTGTGGTCTTAACCATAATTAAATTATGATTGGTTTTCATGCTCAAATAGAAGAGTGGTCTGCACAAGTATGGGAGGGCAATTTTTAATATTAATTAATAATATTAATAAAATTTAATAAGGTCCTACTGGTCAGCAATTTTTTATATTGGTCTATAGAATAGACTTTCTTTTCATTTGAAAAGTGAAAATATCATTATTTATTTCCACTGAGGAATCGCAATGACCTTCTGTGCTTGAATAATACTTCTAGAAAAGGGTCCTGGTTTATATATACACTGCAGGTTTAGATAAGTATGTGGAACTGAATTGCATCCACTAAATAAATTTTTGCCTTTAAAAAAAGTTCTATAGTAAACTGTAAGTCAAGATTTCTTTAGTTATGATACTGCTAACCGGTATATCATGACCAGTTTGATGACTGGGCTTTTGTAATGAAACATTATGATCAATTTATTTAAAAGTGCCATACTTCATTTTACCAGTACTTGTGCAAAAGAAATTTCTGCCGTATCTATTTTTAACATTATCTAAAATCTCTTGATTATTTTCACTGTCTTAGTCTAGCTATCCAACAGTGAGATGCAGAGAAAAGCATCCTCTTCTTCAAAACTCTTTCTAACAAAACCAGTTCCTCAAATCAGTGATGGTAAACCTATTTATATTCAGCACAGCAAATACTATATGTTCTAGAGGTTCGCAGACAGGGTTTCCTTCTTAAAACTTAACTTCTGTGGTTAGTGAAACTTCCCTGGAATAACTGAGGTATATTATTCAAATGAAGTTGAGGAAGGGGAAAGCATACCAGTCATGGGAACACACAGAGAGGAAAGTACAAATACAAGGACCCTTTTGTGACTATGAGTCTCCCCTGTTCTCATGTGCTTGGGGAACATGTAGGATGCAAGTAGGGGTAAGTCAGTAATGGAACTGAAGATAGGCCAGTAGAAGGTTCTAAAGTGCTCCATGTCATGCTGAAAAGTTTGGCTTTTACTCAGACTGAATTGGGAATCAATGGAGGATTTTAAATGGAGCAATGAAGGGACAAGAAAAAGGCCATTAAGTTACAAACAGGAAAACAGATTAGAAAGATGGGAAAATTGGATTTGGGAAATTAGTTACTGTTGCTATAATCCCAGGGGGAAATGTTTGAGAGAAGATGGGGTCAAAGATGATGCCAGTTTTTGTTTTTTGTTTTTTGGGGTTTTTTTAGACAGAAAATTTGAATGGATAGTGATGCCGCAAAAAACAAGTCAGTTACTTTTCAATGATGTTAGAAATTTTGATTGGTTGCCTGATTTGCCTAATGGAAACAGAATTCGTTCTAAATATAACTATGTCTTTGACAAGATCATTTAATATACAACAAACATTTTGGAACTTAATCCCTTCCATTTAGAAATTTCCTGCCAAAAGCCACAAATTGCAAATGGACAGTCTTCTTCTCCGAAGCAAGTTTACAAGGAAAATGAACGACTTCAATATAAATGTAACAGTGGTTATGAATACAGTGATAGAGGAGATGCTGTATGTACTAAATCTGGGTGGACTCCAAGTCCTTCATGTAAAGGTGATGTTATATTTTTTCTATACATTTTGCCGTATAGTTTGTAAGTTGTCTTCATGCATATACTCCTTGTAGTTAAGCAGTTTATTTTTTTTCTCACAGTGGAGTATTAATGTTTATAGAAATCAATGATTATAAAGACAATATACTTAACATTTTGTGTGCAGTGCCCATTCTGAGATCAATTAGTATAATTCTCTCATTCTCAAGACAGAGATAAAAGGATGAGAGACATTCAATAGCTCATTAAGTAGTTGGTCTGTGGTCAAAAAGCAAGTCTAGATCAGAGCCAGTGTTGTAATGGGCTTCCTAATTCCCAGCTATATACACCTCCCAGATTGTTCTTGTAAACCCCATAATTTTGCTTTAAAAAGTAAATTTTATTAATACCAGATGAGGAAACCCTCCATTGACAAAATGGCATTAAGTGGAAGTAACTGGAGATTTCATTAACCATAGACCTAATATGAATCAACAGTGATGATGATATTGGGGGGAAAAAACAAAAACAAAAACTCTTTTAGGCTTCAGAATGGAAGGATGTTGTACAGAGCTAGGATCCTTCTCAACTGTGTTTAGTGCCCACCAAAAGTTATGTCTGGAATATTGTGTTCTGCTTAGCTTACCTCATTTTAAAAGAGGTGGTTTCAAAACCAAGACCTAAAAGAGAGAATGTAGATAGTTGAGTTTAAGAAATCATATGAAAAGAGCAAGAAGATACAGCTTAGCATGGTAACAACTGTGTTGAGATATTTGCACACATTTATGGAAAAGAGTGAATCAACTTATGTTGAGAGCTGCAGCAATGAGTGAAACAAGTAACATAAAATCAGAGGTCGAGTGCCTTTCTAAAAGGGTGAGTTTTACATATATTTTCATACTGTGGGCCAGGGTGGGTGGGGAGATGGTAAGAAGAGTTGAACTCTTAAGAGCCCTCGGAACTTTTTAATCATATGATTCATAATTACATGTACACCTTGTTCAATGATCCTCTTCTGCAAAAACTAGAGCTAGCTTCTGAGTTGATTTTATTCTTTAAAGAAATTTTTGGTTGGCTTTTTCTAATTTTAAGTAGGTTCTACACCCAATATGGGGCTTGAACTCACAACCCTGAGATCAAGTATCACATGCTCTGCTGACTGAACCAGCCAGGAACCCCCTCCCCCACAAGGGGAAAAAAATGGTTGAGTTCACAAACAGCTCCTTGGAAAATATACCCTCCTACAATTGAGCGACCTCCATTTTCAGGCATTATTAAGAAAATATTTTATGAAGAGGTTAATGAACACAGAACAATAATCACTCACATTAGATCCATGTTCAGCTGTTGGTGTGTGGGGTCCAGCTGTTTGTCTTCATGGCATTCATGGTTCCTACACAAAGAAAATGGGTGCACAAGTCCTCTGGCATTAACTTCTGTCACGTGTTTTACTTCCAGAGCCCCACCAAAATATTAGATACTTAAGTTATCTATCCAGTCATCAAAATATAATTTATAAACCACTTACTTTGGATGAGTCCCCTTGTCCTGTATAAATATTAGAATAAATCATCATTCCAAGTTCAATGAACATTAGACTAAATCATCATTCCAGGTTTCAATGAAGTTACCTACTTTAAAGTAAGACCTCAGAATCTGAATCCAACTTTATTTTGACATAAGTTAATTTCCTATTTATGCTCACTTCCAATGTAGGTCTGAAGGGATTCTGTTCATTATATTCACTGTACGAACCAAGGGATAGAGACATCATCTTTCCATGGCTTTCCCTAATCACTGCAGCTATGGAGAAGAGAATATTAAAAAAAAATAAAAATCACAGAATGGCTTTTTAAACTTCCTCCCTGAAGGAAAACATGATACTTTACACTTATTTCATTGTCCTATGCAAATCATAGGGCCATGTCTATTTCAAATGGGTAGGGATATGCAGTCCTACTGTGTCTGGAAAGGAGAGTCCTGGAATATTTTTTAAGAGTCTGAATGAGAGCCACAGATGTCAAGGCAGTTGAAGAACAGTTGGAAAGAATAGTCGAAGTGATATGTCATGAATTTATTGCCACATATGAAATATCATGATGTATGTGATGACTTGGAGAAAGAGGTTTCAAGAGTCTGCATGGCTCAGTTGGTTAAGCATCTCCTTTGGCTCAGGTCATGATCCTGGAGTCCCAGGATGGAGTCCTAAGTCAAGCTCCCCATGCAGCAGGGATTCTGCTATTCCCTCTGACCCTCCCCTCTCTCGTGCTTTCTCTCTCTTACTCTGTCATTCTCAAATAAATAAAATCATAAAAGAGAGAGAGAGAGAAAAGTCCAAGGGGCACAGATATATCAGATGAGAGATATAGTGGTGGGACATGAGTGATTATGGTGGGAAGAATATGAGACTATTTTAATCCCTTTTGTGCTGTGACATGGACAAAAAAAATATCCAGCTTCCTTTATTTTTATGTATGTGATTATTTTAATGGGTGGTGATTTCAACATTATCCACATGTCCTTATTTCTTTTTCAGAAGTAGTATGTGGTCCTCCTTATATTCCAAATGGTGACTACACACCAAAAGCCATCCAATACAGACCTGGAAATGAAATCACATATTACTGTAAAAAGAACTTTTATCCAACTGGTAGAAATAAAGCAAGATGTTCTGATAAACGCTGGGAACCTCCTCCAAAATGTTCTTGTAAGTTCCATTCATACCTTGACCTGCTTTTTAATTCTGAAATTACTGTCTCTTAAACAACAACAAAAATGGGGACACAATAAATCCAAATATTTGCCTTACCCTGTATGTAAAGCAGAGGCTTCAGAGATATTCTTTTCTCTTCAAAGTAAGCAATTCTAAGCAGGATCAAAAACATGGTTTTGAATATTAAAAATTCTTTACTTTTTGCTATTTAATGTTAAATATGCATGTGTATGAACATAAATTTCTCTAAAGTAATTTTAATATCTGAACTAAAACATTTGGTAAGACTAGAATGTATTATTTATTTCGGTGTAACAAATTCCCCTCAAAATACATTGTCTTCAAACAACAAACTTTTATCATTTCCAAGTTTCTATGCGTCAGGAATTTGGGAGTGGCTTAGATAGCTACTTCTGAGCCAGACACTTCTTGTGTTGTAGTCAGAATATTGACCCCGACTACAGTCACCTGATGGCTTGGCTGGGCTAGAGGATCTGCCTTCAAGATGGCTTACTCATCAGGTTTTTGGCAGGAAGCCTCAATACCTTACCACGTGGTCATCCCCATAGTCTACTTGAACAACAGCTAACTTTCTCCAGAGCTCATGGTCTGAGAGATGGAACCCTCATACCTTTTATGAACATTGTCCCTTTAACCATATCTGGTCTCTAGAAGGGAGTGTCTAAGTCTACCATACTCAAGGGGAAGAGAATTAGACTCAACATTTTGGAGGGAGGAGAAGACACTGTGGAATTTTCTAAAGCCATCCCATGTAACAAAATGACATTCAATTCAACAAGGTACTGTATTTTATTTCTGGAGATGTTCCCTCTGCCATTTTCTTTACATATCCACAGTTGGTTGTAAAGGTATACGATACTTAAACTGGACAATACATGAATAAAAAGTGTCATGATACAAATAATAGGTCAGCGGTCTCAGTATTAATTTTAGGCATAAGTCCTGAATGAATTTTCAAATCAAAAACACTTAAAGAAGATCCCATCATCACTATGAAACAGACTTTAATGTGTAAAACAATTATAATGAAAATATTGATTGATAGATTGAAATATACTTGACATATAATTTTATCTTAGTTTTAAGTATGCAATATGATCTGATATTTGTATATACTGTGAAATAATTACAAACAGATTTCTAGTTATATCCATCACCATCATAGTTACAAATATTTTTTTTCCTTTTGAGAAAACTTTTAAGATCTACTCTCTTAAAAACTTTCAAATATACAATGCAGTATTAACAACTAGAGTCACCATGCTGCACATTACATCCCCATAATTTAATTATTTTATTCCGGGAAGATTGACATTTTTATTCCCCTTGCGCATTTCTGCCACCCCCCCGTGCCTTGCCTTTAGCAACCACCATCCTATTCTCTTTATCTAAAAATTTGGTATATTCAGATTCCAAATATAGCTCATATGGTATTTTTCTTTGTCCTCTTTATTTCACTCAGCATAATGCCCTCAAAGTCCACTTATGTCATCACAAATGGCAATATTTCCTTCTTCTTTTGGCTGAATAGTTTATGTGTGTGTGTGTTACATTTTCCTTATGCACTCATCCAGCAATGGACACTTAAGATTGCTTCCATATCTTGGCTCTTATAAATAATGTAGCAGAGAACATGGGGTACATATATCTTTTTGAGTTAGTGTTTTCCTTTCTTTCAGATAAATACTCAGAAGTAGAATTGCTGGATTATATGGTAGTTCTATTAATTACTTGAGAAATCATACTGTTCCCATATTGGCTGCACCAATCTATATTCCCACTAACAGTGCAGAAAAGTTCCCCTTCTCTACATCCTCACCAACACTTCTTATTTTTTTCTGTTTGTTGACAGCCATTTTAACAAGTGTGAATTAATATCTTATTGTGATTTTGTTGTTGTTGTTATTGACTTGTATGAGCTTTTAAAGTATTTACCCCTTATCAGATAAATGATTTGCAAACATTTTCTCCTATTCAATAGGTTGCCCATTCAGTTTGTTGATGGTTTCCTTTGTTATGCAGAAGTTTTTAGTTTAATGCAGTCCCACTTGTTAGCTTTGCCTGTGTTGCCTTTGCTTTTGGTGTCAAATCTAAAAAATAATTGCCAAGACAAATGTCAAAGAGCTTATCCCCTATCTTTTCATCTAGGAGTTGTATGGTTCCAGGTCTTACATTCAGCTCTTTAATCCATTCTGTGTTAGTTTTGGTATGTGGTGTAGATGGTGGTCTAGATTCATTCTTCTGCATGTGGCTGTCCAGTATTCTCAACACCATTTATTGAAGAGACTGTCCTCTCCCCACTGTATTTTCTTAGCTTCTTTGTCATAAACTATCTGACCTTATCTGCATGAGTTTATTTCTAGGCTCTCTATTCTGTTCTGTTGAGCTATTTGTTTGCTATTATGCCAATACCATACTTGGTAACTTTGTAATATAGTTTGAAACCAAGAAGTATGATGCCTCCAGCTTTGTTCTTCTTTCTCAAGATTCCTTTGATTCTTTGGATTCTTTTGTGGTTCCAAACAAATTTTAGGGTTGGTTGTTCTATTTCTGTGAAAAACGTCATTGGAATTTTGATAGGAATTGCATTGAATCTATAGATTGCTTTGAGTGGTATGGACATTATAATAATATTAACCCTTCCAAACCATGAACATGGACTATGTTTCATTTATTTGTGTCTTTGATTTATTTCATCATTGTCTTCTGGTTTCAGGGTACAGATCTTTCACCTCCTTGGATACATTTATTCCTAGATATTTTATCCTTTTGATGCTATTTTAAATGGGATTGTTTTAGTAATTTCTATCTCTGATAGCTTATCATTAGTGTATAGAAACACACCACATTTTTGTACATTGATCTTGTATCCTGCAATTTCATTGAGTTAATTTATTAATTCAAACAAGTTTTGGTGGTGTTTTTAGGGGTTTTCGTGTATAATATCACATCATCTGAAAATAGTGAAAGTTTTACATCTTCTTTCCTAAGTGGATGCCTTTTATTTCTTTTTCTTGCCTAATTACTCTAGCTAGACTTCTAACACTATGTTCAAAAAAAAGTTGTGAGAGTGAGCATTCGTATCTTGCTCCTGATCTTAGAGGAAAAGCTTTTGCTATTGAATATAAGGTTGGTGTGAGCTGGTCATATATAGGTTTTATACACTGAGAGGTATGTTCCCTCTACACCATGTACACTTTGTTAAGAGTTTCATCATAAAAGTTATTGAATTTTATCAAATGCTTTTTGTGCAGCTATTGAGATGATCATAGGATTTTTATCCTTCATTTTGTTAATGTGGTGTATCACATTGATTTGTGGATATTGAACCATCCTTGTACCCCTGAAATGATTCCTACTTGATCCAAGTGTATTACCCATTTAATGTATTGTTGAATTCAGTTTGCTAATACTTTGTTGAAGATTTTTACACCTAATTTTTTCAGGTATTGGCCTGTAATTTTCTTTTCTTCTGGTGTCTTTCTCTGGTTTTGGTGTCAGGGTAATGCTGGCCTCATAATATGACTTTAGAAGTGTTCCCTAGTTTTCTATATTTCTGAAGAGTTAGAAAAGGATTGGCATTAATTTTTTTTAAATGTTGGTAGAATTCACCGGTGAAGCCATCTGCTCTTAGACTTTTGTTTTTGGGGAAGTTTTTGATTACTGATTTAATCTCTTTGTTAGTAATTGGTCTTTCAGATTTTCTATTTCTTCATGATTCAGTCTTGGTAGGTTGTATAGCTCTAGGAATTTACCCATCTCTTCTATGTTGTATAATCATTCATAGTAATCTTTTATGAGCCTTTATATTTTTCTGATATCAATTATATGTATTCTCCTATAAGATCCTGGACTTAGGTCAAAGTACAAGTACAGACAGATGAGAAATACTTTTAAAATTAGTGATTATTTGGGGTGTCTGAGGGGCCTCAGTCGGTTAAGTGTCTGACTCATTATTTCAGCTCAGGGCTTGATCTCAGTGTCATGAGTTCAGACCCCACACTGGGCCCCATGCTGGGTGTGGAGCCTACTTTTAAAAAAAAATAGTGAATATTTTAATCTATTTTGAGACTAGCTTCAGTCAAAACTATGACAGAGTCACCAGTACAATGGGACCACAACCTGCACTGATAGAAGTCTAAGGTAGAATGAGGCTGTTCTAAGTCTTGCCAATGTCAGTGCTTATCAGACTATATGTGAAATATTATATTTGCTTCAGAGGTGATCTTGTTAGAGTATAAAAACATATTTAAGTGTGCCCAGATGAAAGAGGAATATAGTAAAGAGGTTCAAGCCAATACTTACTTTTAACTTTATCCCCTTTGTATACCTTTTGAGAAGAAATCTCATCAGGCTGTTTTCTTTAATTGATATCCTTTGAAACACCATAATAGGTAGATAATCATAGTTGTTCTGAAATCAGACCACCAGGATTCAAATCTCTCCTTTACAATTTCACAGCTAATTTAGTTGAATTCTTTAAGACTCAGTTCTTGCAAATCCAAAGACTGAAGCTTGCACAAGGTAGAATTATTGTTAAATGAAACACATCTTGATGTATCATGATGAAATTCATTCAAGGATAGAGAGAAAATAATCTAAATCTTCCAAAATTAGTAGGGAAAAACCCTTAAAAGTTTACTTAAAAGAAATTAAGAGTAAATGAGCATCTTAATCTCAACATTGGAAGCTTGAAAAGAGGGGGGATCTAGCAATGAGAGCTATGGACTGTAGGCCAAGAATCTATACCTAGAGAAGGCATCATTTACAAATCCTTATTAAAGGGGCACCTGGATGGCTCAGTTGGTTAACCCTCTGCCTTTGGCTCAGGTCATGATCCCTAGTTCCTGCTCAACGGGGAGTCTGCTTTTCTCTGTGTCCATCCACCTGCCTTATGCTCGCTCTCTTTCTCTCTCAAATAAATAATAAAATCTTTTTTAAAATCTTTATTAAAGAAAAACATTAGTATATGCAAAGGATTCAAAGTGTATAATCCAAGTAACAAGTCTGCAGAAACTACTGGAAAATTTCTCTAATCAAACAAAAAAGAAAATGGATCAGTGAACTTAAGTATATAAAGATGATAATGAATACTTTGTGTGTGTGTGTTGGAAATTTTGTTCATGTGTTGGTCAATATTCCTTGCAAACAAATCATTTTATGGAAAAAAAAACCTAATCTTACTCTGGTATTAAAAGTACTAGATTATCTCTAAATCATCCAACAAAAAGGGAAAATTTTTCTAGAAAATATTATACATAAATGTCTTATAAACAATAGAACACTTAAACATATATGTAAGAAATATTCAATAAATAAGAATAACTCAATAAAATACAATTATATTATACCTCAATAAAAATAGGACATTTTTATTGTGTTTTAAAAGAATCGAACTATTGTGGCATCAAATATTCACTTTTCTCCTAAAATATACATATTATGACATATGACATGTTTGAAAACATCTCCTATATATGGTATATATGACATACTATGTAATTAGGACATTTTAAACACCTCACATACACTATATATATATATATACTATGACATGTGTGTCACATTATATATGATATATATGTAATATATGTGTCTAATATACCACATATAATATGACATATTCTGTATGACATTTTTAAATATGTCGTATGTATGACATATGTCATATATATTATGACATATGTATGACATTTTAAAATATCTCATTCACCAATTAAGATTAGTAATAACAATCAAATTCTTACTATAATCTTAATTAACTATTTAGATATTAAGAAATATTTTTAGGGGCACCTGGGTGGCTCAGTGGGTTAAGCCTCTGCCTTCAGCTTAGGTCATGGTCTCAGGGTCCTGGGATCAAGCCCCACATCAGGCTCTCTGCTTAGTGTGGAGCCTGCTCCCCTACTCTCTGCCTACTTGTGATCTCTCAGTCTCTGTCAAATAAATAAATAATACTTTTTTTAAAAAAAGAAATATTTTACTCCATTTCTCTGATTAAATAAAAAGAGGAAAACTTGCCTCAATGACTGGTTTCAGGCATTATTTTTCTGTATAATGTGGCAAATGGAAAATTTTTGTGTTTCTCTGTATTTCTTACACCATTTACAATAAATAGAAAAATAAGTTAATGAATGTTAACTTACAAAAAAAAAAAATACCACTATCTCCCTACATTGAGTTGGTTTGAGAAGAAAGGCAGAGCTCTGATTTCAGTTGAGAACAGAAAAGAATGGAAAAGAAGATAGATGATCTGGACAAGAAAATCAATATTTTCATCTCTCAACCAAGATGCTCATTTAATCAATCAGGGCTACGATATACATACTCAAGGAGAATTCATTAAATAGGTCTGTACTGTCTTATTCCTCAAGAGTCTTCCTACAGGGGCACCTGGGTGGCTCAGTGGGTTAAAGCCTCTGCCTTCAGCTCAGGTCGTGATCCCAGGGTCCTGGGATTGAGACCCACATTGGGCTCTCTGCTCAGTGGGAAGCCTGATTCCTCCTCTCTCTCTGCCTGCTTGTGATCTCTGTCTGTCAAATAAATAAAATCTTAAAAAATATTTAAAAAAAAGAGTCTTCCTACAAGTTTATATATCGTATCACACACAAGATATAATTTTAACTTCATTAACAATAACTTCATCACATATCCTTGTCTTCTGAATTTTGCAACTTTTCTTGTCCTAGAAATCCTGTTGCCATGAGTGAAATTATACTAATAAGAGGATATAATTCACCAATGAAACAATTTTTTTAATTTTTAATTTATTTTTACATTTACATGAAATTCATATTTTTTTTAGTACTCATAAGTTTTTTTATTAACATATAATGTATTATTTGCCCCAGGGGTACAGGTCTGTGAATTATCAGGCTTACACATTTCAAAGCACTCACCATAGCACAAACCCTCCCCAGTGTCTATAACCCAGCTACTGTATCCCAACCCCCCACCTCCCAGCAACCCTCAGTTTGTTTTGAGAGATTAAGGTTTTTTTTTATTTAAACTTTATTTTTTCAATGTTCCAAGATTCATTGTTTACGCACCACACCCAGTGCTCCATGCAATACATGCCCTCCATAATACCCACCACCTGGCTCACCCAACCTCCCAACCCCCACCCCTCCAAAACCCTCAGTTTGTTTCTCAGAGTCCACAGTCTCTCATGGTTCATATCCCCCTCCGATTTCTCCCAACCCCCTTCTCCTCTCCTACTCTCAATGTCCTCCATGTTATTCCTTATGCTCCACAAGTAAGTGAGACGGTATGATAATTAACTCTCTCTGCTTGACTTATTTCATCAGCATAATCTGCTCCATTCCCAACCATCTTGATACAAAAGTTGGGTATTCATCTTTTCTGATGGAGGCATAATATTCCATTGCATGTATGGACCATATCTTCTTTATCCATTCATCTGTGGAAGGGCATCTTGGCTCTTTCCACAGTTTGGCGACTATGGCCATTGCTGCTATGAACATTGGGGTACAGATAGCCCTTCCTTTAACTACATCTCTATCTTTGGGGTAAATACCCAGTAGACAACAAGTGTTAGAGAAAATGTAGAGAAACGGGAACCATTTTACACTGTTGATGGGAATGCAAATTGGTGCAGCCACTTTGGAAAACAGCATGGAGATTCCTTAAGAAATTAAACAATTCATTTCTAATTTGATTTTTTTATTAAGGTAAAACATTATTTATACTGTTTTTGTTTCTTTTCTTTGTATTGCAAGTGAAGACCTGTGATGCTCCAGAAATAAAACATGGACAGTTACACATTGGATTTAGGTTTACATCACCCTTTCCAGCAGCATTAGGAGTACGTTTTTCCTATACCTGTGATACCAATTTTGTGACTCCTTCAAAACATCATCAGGGACAAATTACTTGCACACGGAAAGGATGGGACCCAGAAAAACCATGCCAGAGTAAGTAAACCTTTTTCCAATTGTGTATCTGTAAATATTTCAAATAGTAGAGGGAGAAAAATGTATAAGTGAGTACCATTAAGCCTTGTATGACAAAATAAGGCCAAAGGATGAGTTTTATGAGCAAAAAGACCCATACACGTTTTTCTTTTTATAAGGAGCTCTTCATAAAAATCACTTTACAGATAAAGATAGAAGCTTTTCAAAAACACCCATATCATTCATACACATTTTAATTACAAAAACTGAAGATAAATAATATCAAATATTGATTTTATCTTTTTAGACATTTGGTAGTAGCTTTAGTTTTTCTTGAGCTGCATGTTATTTTTGGATACTTAGATGTTATAGCTTAAATATTGTACAAATAGTTTTTAACTTATTATTTTAAATGTTTTTATGGGTTTTATGATTTTTAGGACAATGTATTTTCAATTATTTGAAAAATGGAGATTATCCAAGACTTGCAGCAAAATATTCCCAAGGTGAATCTGTGAGAGTTAAATGTGATCCTGGTTACAGTCTTCAAGACAAGCAGACTATAATGACATGTACAGAGAATGACTGGTTCCCTCCTCCCGAATGTATTTCTCTCAGTAAGTAAAGTACATGGGCTGAGATCCCAGTATATTTATGGTTTTCTAACCCACATTTCCATTAACTGTAGCAAAACGTTTATATCAACTTTCTAATTTCTGCCAACGCATATACTTATCCTCATTTTTTCCAAGTATGTATGAATGGATATACAAATTTCTTGATACATATATAGCAAAATAAATGTTAACTGATAGGTATTAGTCAAGAAAACAGTAAAAGAAACACAAAGATGCCAGTAATAATAAAGTGACACCAGCAGTGGAGGGAAGGAGATGGCAGTGGAGTAGGAGGATCCTAGGCCTCCCTCATCCCATAAATACACTTAGATAACCATTAAATCATCCTAAATACCCCAGAAATCAACCTGAAGACTGGCAGAACAAATTCGACAACTAAAGGTCATGGAGAGACCACATTGAAGAAGTAAGATGTACAGAGACACAGTTTGAAAGGAATGGATTGTGGCCACTGAGGTAGGGAGAAAGCCATGGTCACAGAGGAAGGCAAGGGACAGATTAACACACAAGGCAGCACATGGGGAAATGAGTCACCATGGCAATTGTCTTGGAAAGTGAGAGAGCCCAAATTTCATAATTCTTAAAACCAGTGGAATTTAAAGGCTAGGGTCTTAAAGGTCAGTGTTTTTGGCTCTGGGACAGTCAATGGGCACTGGGACTTGGAGAAAAGATAACAAACAGCCTGAGAACATACAGCTGGAAAGAATAATCTGAAAAGCACCCGGGGCACACAGTGAGGAGTGTGTTGCAAAAAAGCAGTTTCTCCAGAGAGACCCCTTTGGGAACAAAGGAACTAGCAGGTGCCTTCTCCCCACCCCCGACCTTCAACATAAACACAGAGCCACCTGTGGGAACCAGCACAGGGCCAGCACTCACTACCTAACTTGTTTGCACCAAGTCCCAACTCCCTGTGCTCCAATGGAAACACACTTCCAGTCATGTGTGCCTTAGTCCCTGAGCAGCCAGACTCCTCCTTTGGGAGACCAACCCAAACCCCTGCCCCCACCACATCTCCCAGCCTGGGAGTTTGGAGACCCTTGATTCCAGGAATGGTGATAAGAGGTCTCATTTCGCAAGCAGACCACAAACACCTAGTTAAAACTCACCACAGTCAGGTCAGGGACCAAATACTGACCACAATATGGAAAGAGGGCCTCTGCAGATGACTGGCCTAAAGGATAAGGCAGTCAGGACACAACAGCAGTGTGCATACAGCCCACATTGGAGAACACCCTGAAGTGTCAGGCCCTGGGACACAGAGGTCACAACACTGCAGGGCAGTATAGAACCTCTTCTTCATAAGGCCATTACCCTTAAGAACAGGAGAAGTAGCTGACTTTCTGAAAAAAGAAGTACGCACAGAAATTTAGAAAAATTAAAAAAAAAAAGAAGAATTTGTCCCAAATAAAGGGACAATACAAGACCCCAGCCAGAAATGTAAGTAAAATATATATTAGCAATATGCTTGATAGATCATTTAAAGTAATGATTATAAAGATACTCACTGGACTTGTGAAAAAAGTCAAAGACCTGAGTGAGAACTTTAACCCAGACATAAAGAATAACATAGCAGAGATCAAGGGCTCAATAAACAAAATGAGAAACACACTTGATGGAATAAACAGCACACTGGAAGAAGCAGAGGAATGAATGAATGACCTAGAAGACAGTAACAGAAAGTAATCACACTGAACAAAAGAAAGAAAAAAGAATTATGCAAAATAAAAATAGACATAGGGAACTCAGTGACTGTATCAAACAAAACAACACTCATATTATAGGATTCCCAGAAGAAAAATAGAGGAAAGGGGGGGCAGAAAATTTATTTGAAGAAATAATAGCAGAAAACGTCCATTGTCTTGGGGAGGAAACTGATATCCAGATACAGGAGGTATTGAGAACCCCCCAAAATCGACAAAAGCAGACCCATACCAAGACATATTATAATTAAATTGGCAAAGCATAGTTATATAGAAAAAAATTTTAAAGCAGCAAGACAAAAACAAAACAAAACAAACAAAAAGACAGTAACATATAAGGGAAAACCCAAAAGGCTACCATGGGATTTTCAGCAGAAATTTTCCAAGTCAGAAGAGAGTGGCATGATAAATTCAAAGTCCTGAATGCAAAAAATCTGCAGCCAGGAATATTCTAACCAGAAAGCCCATTATTCAGAATAGAAGGAAAAATAATTTCCCAGACAATCAAAAATTAATGGAGTTCATGACCACTAAACCAGCCATGCTAGAAATATTAAAGGGGACTCCGAGTGAGAAGACAGCAAAAGTGACAGTATGAACATAGGTAATACAAAGCAATAAAAATGAATATTTATGTAAAAAAAAATCAGTCAACGAATTCAAAAAATAAAAGGATATAAAATATGACACCATATACCTGGGAAAGAGAGGAGTAAGAATGGGTTCAAACTTAAATGACCATCAACTTAATATAGATTGCTATGTGCAGAATATGTTACATACAAACCTAATGATAACCACAAACCAAAAACCACTAATAAATATACAGAGAATAAAGGGAAAGAAATCTAATATGTCACTAAAGAAAACCAGTAAACCAAAAAAGAGAGAAAGACAAGAAAGGATCATAGAAAATCTTCAGAAACCACAAAACCCGTAATAAAATGGCAATAAATACTTTGGATGGGAATAATTACTTTGAACAGAAATGGGCTAAATGCTCTAATCAAGACATAAGTTGACCAAATAAATAAAACAAGACCCATCTATATGCTGCCTACAAAACTCATTTTGGAACAAAAGTCACCTGAAGATTGAATCTGAGGATATGGAGAATATTTATCATTGCAAATGGGTGTCAAAAGAAAGCTGGGGTATCAATGCTTATATTGGACAAAATAGATGTTGAAACAAAGACTGTAACAAAAGACAAAGAAGGACAACATATAATGATAGAGGTGTAATACAACAAGAAGATACAACAATGGTAAATATTTATGCAACTGACATGGGAGCTCCCAAATACATAAAACTGTTAATAATAAACATAAAGAAACTAATCAATAATAATACAATAATAGTAGGGGACTTTAACACCCCACTTACATCAATGGACAGATCATCTAAATAGAAAACCAACAAGGAAAAAATGACTTTGAATGACACACTGAACCAGATGGATTTATACATTCAGAACATTCTATCATAAAACATCAGAATACACACTTTTTTCAAGTGCACATAGAATAGAACACATATTAGACCACAAAAGAAACCTGAACAGATTCAAAAAGATCAAAGTCATACCATGCATCTTTTCTGACCACAATAGTATGAAACTAGATATCAACCACAAGAAAAAAAAAAACAAAAGTCCACAAATACATGGAGGTTAAGTAACATGCTACTAAAAATTGAATGGGTCCAAGGAAATAAAAGAAGAAATTAAAAAGTACATGGAAACAAATGAAAATGAAAACGCAACAGTTCAAAACATTTGGGATTCAGCAAAACTGGTTCCAAGGGGAAAGTTTATACCAATACAGGCCTAGTTCAAGAAGCAAGAAAAATGTCAACTAAACAATCTAAACTTACACCTAAAGGAGCTGGAAAAACAACAAGAAACAAAACCTAAAACCAGCAGAAGGAAGGAAATAATAAAGATTAGAGCAGAAATAAATGATGCAGAAACTAGAAAAACAATAGAAGAGAATGTGAAACCAGGAACTCATTTTTTGAAAAAATTAATAAATTTGATAAACCCCTAGTCATAGTTATCAAAAAGAAAAAGGAACCAAATAAATAAAATCACAAATGAGAGGGGAGAAATAACAACCAATACCACAAAAACACAAATGATTATAAGAGAATATTCTGAAAAACTACATGCTAACAAATTGGACAACCTAGAAGAAATTACTAAATTCTCAGAAATATAAACCTATAAACCAAGATTGAAACAGGAAGAAACAGAACATTTGAGCCAACCAATTCAAGTAGAAAAAAAAAAATTGAATCAGTAAACAAAAAACCCAATAAACAAAAGTCCAAGATCAGATGGCTTCACAGATGAACTAACCAAACATTTTCTTTTAAGATTTACTTTTATGTTTTGAGAGTGGGTGGGGATGGAAGGGCAGAGGGGAACTCAGAGAGAATCCAAGCAGACTCCCTGCTGAGCTCAGAGCCTGATACAGAGCTGGATCTCATGACACGGAGATCATGACCTGAGCTGAAATCAAGAGTCGGATGCTTAACTGATGAGTCAACCAAGCACCCCTCTACCAAACATTTAGGGGAAAGTTAATATCTATTCTTCTTAATCTATTCCAAAAAATAAAAAAGGAAGGAAAGCTTCCAAATCCATTTTATGAGGCCAGCACTACCCTGATACCAAAACCAAATAAAGACACCACAAAAAAAAGAACTAGAGGTCAATATTTTTGATGACACAAAAGACACAAAAATGTCACATGGACACAAAAATCCATAACAAGATGTTAACAAACTCATTCCAACATACATTTTTTTAAAATATTCACCACAATCAAGTGGAATTTATCACTGGGTTTCAAGGGCAGTTCAATATTCACAGATCAATCACCATGATACATCACATCAGTAAAAGAAAGGATAAGAACTATAAGATCATCTCAACAGAAATTGCTTTTAGGACAAAAAGCATTTGATAAAGTACAACACCCATTCATGATAAAAGCCCTCAACAAAGTAGGTTTAGAGGGAACATACCTCAACATAATAAAGGCCACATATGAAAAACCCACAGCTAACATCACTCATAATGGGGTAAAACTGAGTTTCCCCCAAAACTGTTTTTCCCCTGAGGTCAGGAACAAAACAATGATATCCCACCACTTTTTTTTTTTTAAGATTTTACCTATCCACCTGACAGAGATCACAAGGAGTCAGAGAGGCAGGCAGAGAGAGAGGGATGGAAGCAGGCTCCCTGCTGAGCAGAGAGCCCGATGCGGGACTCAA